AGTTCTCGCCACCGTTGTGGCCCTTTTCCTGTGCCCCGCCTGCGACACCATTGGTTTGCGTTCTTTACACGACTTCCTGACGCCGTGCGGGTGCCCGCTCGCGGTCGCGACCAAAAAAATATCCCCACCAGCCCGTCCACTGGATCCATAGCTGGATGTTCGAAGTGCGTGGCAGATCGCTAGTGCTCCGAGCATCTAGGTCCATAGGTTGTCATTGGTTATACATGTTGCCTACCTTTCTAAATGTAGATGTTCGACTCGCTAGCAGTGTGGAGCTCCGGACCTGAGTATTTAGATCTGCAGCGGCTCATGGATGGGTCCCTAAATCTGAGCAGCTACATGTGGAGACACAGTGGCAGCGTGTAGCTCCTGAGCGTTTTTTCATGCAGCACCACGCACGGATTCCTACATTTAGATTGTATCAGCCGCTCCACCCGAAAGCAACACGCAGTAGTTATCAAAAGCTGATTGCGTAGGTCATACAAAGTCTTCAGAAACATCATATACAACTGACTGATGTGGGGTTGAACGTGTGAGTGCAATCAGTCGTCCATTTTCAATCCAATCTTTTGTAGGGTTGTCCAAGTGGGGTGGGGGGAGGTTTCAAGACACCGTGCCGACTGTCCGACGATCGCCCCGCGTCACGCGTGAGCACAAGAGTGTTCAGATCCGGCTCGGCGCCTGCGTCCCCCTCTCGCAGCACCATGTACTTCAGGCCGGATCCGGTCGTTGCAGGCTCAGGATCCAGGAATTGGTGCCCCTGGCTCACGGCGGACACGGCGGCCACAGGCGTGGATAGGAGGCGGAAGGCCATGGTGTGTGGGTTCTTCTTAGAAGGGGAATTGCTGTCGAAGAGCCTGGAATAGCATATTCTTTTTCATGTCTTCGAGAGTTTGATCGCTTAGGTCAGCTGCAGGGGAAGAGGGTGAACGAGAGGTGGCCAGGTGGGAAGTAATCGGTCAGGATTCAGAGAGTGATCGAGATAATCAATAAGTTGTTGGAGACGTGCAACTCTCTAAGATGGAAGTTTGTGTAGCAAACATATAACAGGCGGCACGATAATAACAGCGTTTAGAAGCGGCATGAACACAACAGCGCGCAAACGTCCGAATAGTTGGTGCAGCAGCGGGAGAGACAGCAAGGCTGGAACATCTGAAAACACGGGTTCTGAGAACCAGCATGATTACAAAGGCTGTGTCGCACAACGTGTTTCGGCGGAGATTGGAAAACATCCTTATGCCAATTCTTCACGCTTCGCATACCAGAAGGACCGCAGTGCCGAGCACGAGGTCAAAGTCAGCAACATTATCCCGACACCTCTTCGGATGACGACAGTTCGAGCCCAGGTGCCCAACCCCAGCAGCGACAACACACTGTTTCAGCTGCTCCTGCCGGCCACCGGCAGCGATGACCCAGGGCAGTTCGGCAACACTAATCCCAAGTGCCGTCCCATTGACGACCGGTTCGGCACTGGCGCCATTAAGTCTGGGTCCTGCTCCGCCATCTGCGACAGCTACAGCGGGGAGCCGGTCAAGTATACGTGGGAACCAGGCCACCCCGCGCGCCCCGTTCATTTGTCTGGAAGCCCGGCTCCAGCTTGGGATGTGACGACCGATGCGGCCTCCCCGAGTGGGATGGAGTGCTGGGCTGGCTCCTCCTGGAACGCTTCCTGGTGCTGCCGCATCCGCCTGGTGCATATCTGGGACATCGCGCCCAGTGTCCTCAAGGTTACTCTGGACAGGGACTCTGTCCGCATGTGCCCTCCCTCACCAACGAAATGGCCCCCCAGGCCCAGACCTACTGTCGAGGACGGCCTGCGTGGCGAGCTTGGCCTCGCGCGGGCTGTGGCAAGGCAGGACGAGGTGACGCCACCCGGGTTTCGCTGCCCCGACCGTTCTGACACCAGTAGGTGCGAACACATCCTCAGCATCCGGCCGCGTTTCCCCCCGCCAGCGTGCCCCCCCCTGAATCACCGTGATGTCGAGACCTATCTCGCAGCAGCGAGCGACCAATGTGGGACGGAAGCGGCCTCTCCCCTGGCACTGGCAAGGCATGTCCGCTGTCTGGACCCAGCCTCAGACGACGCCTGGATCGCCTTTTCCACTCAGGAGGGCCCCAAACCGGACGATTGGAGTGACAGCGCCTGGGGGCGCAGCCTGGCCTGTGCCTGCATCCGTTCGTTTTGCACCAGCACATTTGCCGACGACGGATTCCCGCCTGGCACGCACCACTTGGGATGGCGAGAGATGGGCGGCCGTTTGCCTGGTACGTCGCTTTGCCCAAAAGGTTCTGATAGGACAATCCTGGAGGCTCCATGCTCAGAGGGGCGCTCCGCTCAAGGACGCCGACCCCGTCCACCACAGCATTAGCACCCTCGTGCACTGGCTGGCAATCCTCGAACCTGACCTGCTAACGGACGACGTCCTGTCGGACGGGGAGATAGGCGGAAACGACATAGACCCAACAGCAGCGCCGTCCGGCGCGGCCAAGCTCGCGCAGGCGCGCGCAGGCCAGAGCAGAAGAAGGGGAGACCACGGACACATCGATTGGCGACCCAGGGGACTCCCATCCTCTCAGCCCCCGGGGGAAGACGGAACGTCTCGCCAGGCTCCAGACTCAGACCCTGACTGGACTTGGGGGCCAGAAACCGAGGCACCACAGACGAGCCCGGAGCCCCAGCGGACGACGACCCCATCCCCTCATCTACCGACGAGGAGGCCAGCTACGAGTCCACTTCCCGCGCCGTGACCCTCTGCGCTGCCGCGCCGGCCAGCAGCGACCACGACGCCGCTGACACGCGGAAGCCGCTGGCACCCCCCGACTCTTGGTTGAAACAATTGTCAGCAGTGACCCGGCGCGGGAAACCTTGGGCGCGCACAGAGGGAAACGGAAAGGGGCGCGACTGAGGATGGAGCCCCCGCGACCATGCCAAGCGGCATGCGGACTGCGCGCGGAGCCCTAACAGCACGGATCCACGTGGTCAAGCTACAATTCGTTGGCATATGGGCCCCAGGGACAGGGCCACGCAGCACGCGCGACCCCTAGCGGCCAAGGTGTTGGTGTGTGGGTGCGAGGAGTCTGGCGCGATGTGGCCGCCAACCCCCTCGCGCCAATCGACATGCCGCACTCGTGGTGGCAGCCAGATGTATAAGACGCCCGCGCACCTTGTTGAGGCACAAGGTGCGGCCGAGAGCAGCCCTGCCTTCGTCGAAAGGATGCAATCCGAGCTCGGAGCCGCATTCAACAGGGTCTGGCACAGATGGGCCGAGCGGGGGAGGGCTGGCGGCAGCACCGAGTGCCGCTCCGACGGCATCTCCGACAGAGGCTCCCGCAGGGGCCTTCACTGTGCCGCCGACAGCGGCTCCAATTGTGGCGCCAACAGAAGCCCCGACGGCGGCCCCCACTGCAGGCCAAGACATGTGTACATTGCGGCTGTTGGCTGCACCCCCCCTCCACTATGTGGTCAGATTCAGCCCTGGCTGCATCCAGCGCTCCATGAGCTGGTCGCGGCAGCTGTGGATCTCGGCGACATTCGTGGCCGCTACCTGCGAGGTTGCAGCGTGCCAGCTCTTGGACCGGAGTGAGTCCCCTCTCATCGTTGCAGCCCCGGCCAGTCTCTGGTTTCGGATGCGATGACCGTCGCGCCGGCCCCCCCCAGAGCAGCGGAGTGAGTGCTCTGTAGTTTCCTGCCGTTCCTCTGCCTCTGTTTCCCCGCCGACCCCACGTGCCGCTCTGGTGTCCGTGGACTTCGCGTTGAGTGGTTCAGCCTTCAGCGACGTCGTTCCCGTTTTTCCCTGCCTGCTGTCGGCTTGGGGAGCTGCTCGGAGCTTGGCGCCGCCTGGGCGACTTCCTCCGTTGCACTCGCACTGCTGGCCGCTTGTTCACTTCCGTGTGGCTGGCGCCTATGTGCGTCTGCCTCTTGAATGCGGAGCATTTTGCTCAGTGCATGTGCACCTCACGCATCGCGTGAAATTTGCCTTGATCCGTAGTACCGGACATCGCTGTTGCCACCTGACCGTAGTCGGGTGGCCGCCGACCAAAAAAGTAACCCCACCAGTTCATCCAGAAACGATGCCCAGAAGAAGTGCCTCGATCAGGGAAGTGGGCAGCACGCAGAGGAAAGGTCCCCCAGTGGAGGCCTCTTGGAGCGTCTTGGGGCCTCTTGGCGGTCCCGGACGCCCCTTAGAGCGTCTTGGGTGCCTCGGAGAGCTTTTGGGGGCCTCTCGGGAGTTTCTTGGGGGCCTCTTGGAGGCCTCTGGGGCGCCTGTTGGGGCCTCCTGGGGCCTCCTGGGCGCCTCTTGGGGCCCTCTTGAGGCGCTCTGGGGGCCTTCGGAGCGCTCTTGGAGCTCTCTTGGGCCATTTGAAGCTTCGGGTGGCCATCGAAAGCGACAAGGCGAGAAAACCCAAACTGTTGATTTTCCTAAGGTTTTGGAAAGATTTTGGCCTCTTCGGGGCCTCCTAGGGGAGCTCTTTGGCCACTTGGAACCGTCTTGAGGCGGTCTTGGGGCCTCTTTGAGCACTGTGGGAACCATCTTGAGACATCTTGGGGTATCTTGAGTCATCTTGGAGGTCATCTTGGGCTATCCCAGGCGCTCTTGGAGTCATCTGAAGCAGTGCCCCCCCCCAGGAGGCCCACATGTGGCCAAAACCTGGGTGAAATCAATGATTTTGGCATTGTCGCCGAGGCCGCTTGGAGCGTCTTGGGTGCCTCTGGGGGGCCTCGTGGGGCCTCGTGGGGGTCTCTTGGGGGCCTCTTGGGGGCATCCTGGGGGCCTCTTGGGGGCTTCTTGGGGCCACATGGGGCCATCTTGGGGCCATCTCGGGGCCATCTCGGGGGCTCTTGGGGCCTCCTGGGCGCCTCTTGGGGCCATTGGAGGAGATCGATCACAGGAGGGGGGGGGCTAAGTTTCCCCCCGTCCAGGTCCACTTGAGGGGGTAGGGGTGGGTGTAAACCCCTCCCCGAAGGGGAAGTAGGAAGGGTAACTGAGAAAACACTTTAGACCACCTACGCCCAAAGATTTTGGCCGTGCGCGCCAGGGCCCCGCGACGGACGACCGGGGCAACGCCGGGCGCCCAGGCAAACAGCTAGACCGCGACGACTCCGTGGTACGAAGCGGCAAGCAGGGCAAGCGCAGCCACGGCTGGGACGAACCTGCTACGGACAAGAGACACCGTTGCTAGCCACCTTCCTACCGCACCTTCACCGCGCACCCCGCTTCATGTGGGTTCTAATCTTGTGATTGCAGCGATCAGCTGCCTTCCCCTCCCCCCTTTCCTCCTGCCGCCACTCCCCCCAAGTTGACCCGCTGCGACGGGGCTTCACCTTGGGTTTACCTCTGCCGCGGTCCGGTGTTTCTTCAACTGTCAGCTTCCAGCTCTACCTTGGGCATCCCTCTGCCGAGGTCATCCATTCCGTCGATGCGATTCGTTTCCTGTTTACCTTGGGTATTCATCGGTGGAAGCTTTGCGAGTGTTTGCAGCGATCAGCTGCTTAGCTTGGGTAATCCTCTGCCGATGCTTTCCGAGCGCTTGCAGCGATCAGCTGCCTCTTATGAGCCTCTTTTGGATATGGTCCGGCTGGTGCGGCACCAGCTCCTTCGGGGCTTCGTTCCCGTCCGTCCCACCACGTGATGGCCGCAAAGGTTCATGTCGGTTGGCTGGACGGGCGGGCCCCGTTCCTGCCAGTGGCCCACTGCGCCCAAGGCGTCACGGCCCCCCCGGCAGGCACTTGCGGGCGCCGGCCTCCGCATGGCCACCCGCCGCTCCACCTTCGGGCTACCTGATGGGCGGCACTCGCTTGCGCGGTTCTCTCGTGCCGATCATCTTTGTCTTCGGGTTCGTGCACGCGGGGCGCACGGCGCTGGTCGACGGCCATCTGAAGTCCTATCTGTACGACAAGGTTGCCCGTGTTTCCTGGCCTCGGGTGCGCACTGATCGCGGCTACTTGGATGACTGCCGACGCTTGTCAGGTGTGGCCCACAGCCTACATGCTCGACCTCTTCGCTTCCGCCTACCTGGGGTTCGTCGGCTTTGCTTCTCCGGCTGGCTCGGGGTGCCCATGGGCGGCGCCGCTATTCGCCCTTCGGCCACCTGGGGGCTTTCTCCCGCGCCATTTTGGCTGCATTCCATGCGGTCGTACACGGTGGTGTTCTTTCCGTGCGGCAAGGTGGTCCACCTTCCTCCGCGTCCTGGCTCTGTCGCGTCACTTTGGCGTCCCCTCGCCCGTGCCCTCGGGGCGCTTCAAGCTTCTCCTGTTCGGCAAGTCTGCGGCCTTGGACCTTCGTGCTCTTCGTCTTCGGCACGGTCTTCGGTAGCTGCTCGCAGGCTGGGTGTACTGCTGTACTTCCTTTCCTACCGCCGCCCGCTTCATTGTTTTTCTCTTTGCTACGGGCGCGGCCCGCCCTAGCGCGCTCGGCGTTCGACTCGTCTTCGCGCGCAAGTATCCCCGCCAGCCCTGCCGCTCCTGCTCGCTGGTTTTTTCTTCTGTCGACGCGTGGCCCGCCCGTCCTGCGTGGCTTTCGACTTGATTCGCGAGCCCGCGTGCCAAAAAGTATCCCCGCCAGCCCGTTCAGAAATCCTGCCCAGGAGAGCTGACGGTAAATGGGACGAAAGGGGCACATGTATTGAAACAGGGCGGGCTACCAGGATGAACAGTGAGACCTCTGGGAGCAAGGAGGTGGCCTTGGAGGTCTCTTCGGGCCATCCTTGGGGCCCGTCGGGGTGCGAGGTGAGGGGAAGGATGATTTGTTAAGGGGACCATGCAGGAACAGGCGGGCTCACAGACGAAATGAACCGATGTAAAGACACATAACTTCAGCTCGTGGGCGACACGGGACCATGTATAAACACATGGTTTTGGTTCACGGGGGAACGGAACCCATATAGAACACTTTTGAGTTCAAAGACGAAAGAAACCCCATGTAGAAACACAGGGTTTTTGCTCAATGGCGAACGGCACCAATTTCAACATTACCGAACTCCCTTGTACACTGCAATGGGGCCGCGTTTTCTTTGCCACAATGTTTCCTCAATTGCGCTGGGCCATTCAGCCTTCCCATATCACCCTCGGTTCTCTAGATACTTGAAAGCAAGCGTTTTGGTTGAGACATCGTCAACGCATTCTGCCGAACAAGCGTTTCGCTCGAGACATCCTCAACAAACAATAAGGAAGCTCAGGTTCGAGGTGTCCTTACTCCTTTCTCAAGAATGAGGCTCCCGCTTGATACATCTTCCAAGTGAGTATCCGCCGGTCCTTCTCGAACATGGCGCCCAGAGCAGTTTGCCAACCAAAGGAGAACCATGGACCCCAGCCGTTTCAGAAAAATGTAGAATCTCTGTTCGGATGGGGGGCGGCTCCCCTTCATAATGTGGCTTTCGCTTATTATTTCCTTTCAAACGTGATGGCCAGACGTGCAACCTTGCGCAACACTTACACGGGGGGGCGGTTTCTTGTCAAAACGGGGTTCTGATTGGACATTTCGTGGAGGTTAATGATCACAC